TTGGATTGTAAGTGTTGTTTGCAATTGATATTTTGTTCAATTCACAGGTTTTTACTTGCAAATAAATCTTTTTTTTTTCATGAAACTTTGCATGAATCTTGAAGCATGCTGCTTTAAATGTGACCTCCGGCGTAAACGATGTGCATTTCACGCGAACACTGCATGGAAAACCGATACACAAAATAGTGAATTACATTCAGATTTTCTTTTCAAAATAATTTAAAAAAAAAACGTTGAATTTATTAAAATGACAATAACAATGTATCTGGCTAATCTCGGAGGTCAGAAAATAACTCAATCTAACATCTTAAAACTATCTACAAGTCTGCCCAAGTATACATCTTCCGAGTACACTTTTTTAATTGGCCAAGTACGTTTTCGATGAGACTTTTTCACAGTTTTAAAGATATACATGGCTATTTGTTAGTAGTGTAATAATAGTGCCGGTTTATTAATAGTGGTTTAAGCTGAGTGAGCCCAACACTCAGTGGTGCTCTTAATAGACTTATATAAACGACCAAATTATTATACGGGCAACACATGATCATATAGATATCTTTAAACGGCACTTTACCCTAAATCTAATTGACAACCAGTGGCTAGGATGGTGGTGTTTGGACGCTACCTTTAATTTACTCTTATTAAGAAAGTATAACACAAGATTTTATAAATTTAACACTATGAGATTTATTATTTAAATGATAATAATTATTATAGAATTTATTTATTAATAGGTTAAATGAGATTATATTTTAAACCAGAAGCTACCAATAATGACTTATTTATTTAAAAAGAATTTTTAAGTATTTGCTATTGACTTTATGTTTACTGATTAAAACGATAAAGAATTCAGTTTAGGGCAGTTTTAACCAAATTAAGACAAATAAGTCATATGTACATACATATGATAATTACAGATTAATAGAGGTGTACATGTATATAGTACTAAGTGTAACATTTTTTAATCATGATGTCACACATTTTAAGAGTTATATGTAAATCCACTTTTAAAGGCCCATTATGTCTTGGAAATGCAATATTTTTTATTTCTAAAAACTTTCTATCTTTGGTATCTTGTCAAAGTTTAAAAAATAACAAAAACAAAAAACAAACAAAAAAACTCATTTGCCATAAACATAAACTTTTTTGTTTTTTTTCTCTACTTGCAAATGTTATATGTAGCGGTTAGTATTTTGTATGGAAGTCAATATACTACTTTGTTTACATTTTGCTACCTTAACGAGACGTCACTTATGTTCAGCGTTACATTTTTTAGTTGTTGAATATTTACCATGCTCTTATTCCATTATTAAAACATGACCAAATACATTTTTTGCATTTCTTAAGAATAAAAAGAAAATATGGATTTTTTTAGGTATAATGTGCCTTCAAACTAAGATTTATACAATACATAGAATCACTCACAATTATTGATCTAGATTGAACATAAACAGAGTTATTTCACTCAATTTTTATGATTTCTATTTTGCTGGTAGACAGTGTGCAATAACGGTTTAACACCTACTAGTTAGACCGTTATTGCACTTAGATGACAACATAAACTTGAACAGTCGTACGTGCAAAATTAATAAATATAAACATTTTTGTCATAAAATATTTAGTTTTTCTTGCCTGTTCTGTCGTACATGATTTGAATCATGGTTCGTTTATTTTAATCTAAAAGCTCATTATTCAATCGTGACATGACATGTAGGCTATATTTACATCAGAAAATTTATAAATTATTTTATATCCTGAAGGACTATATAATTTTATGTATGGATTATTTCTACAGTATTTAAATAATTATTATTCGGTAAGATATAAGCTATATTTAGCTATATTTAGCGTTTAAGCCTTGAGTTTTTTTTATCATATATTGTATTGAAGTAGCAATGGCCGCCGTCTTATACTTTATAAGACGGCGGCGCTTGAATTTACACTTGCGACATGCGCAGACCAAGATCTGCTGGCACATTAATTAGTGCCGTCCAAACATGATTTGCTTTGTTCGCTGTTCTGTCAGTAAATATGTTGAACTTTTCCCTAAATATTGGTCTAGAATCTTCTCCAAATTAAAGGACAGACGAGACCATTTAAGATATTCCGCTTGGTAAAAGTTGAAAAAGATACCTTCTGATGTAGGAAGATTTTTAAGAAGTGCTTACGAGCTCTGAATTTTACAATTTTTGAATTATGTGCACGCAGGGGCTTTGGTGCGGTGCATGGGAGGTAGAAATTGTCACAGTCGTCTTTCACTGGGTTCAATTCAACAGAGTTTATGAGTTGTTTTGTTGTTTTCGTTGACCCTCATGTATTCATATTGTGAATACAATGGTCTTTATGGTGAACGAACTTAACATCTTTATCACTGAGGTTACTCAGCCTCAACAATTAATTTATTTTAAGTTGAACTACCTCTATTATTTTTAATCCTATCGTAAGAGTTTTTGTACGCTAACAAGATATCAACTATAGTAATAATAATTCACTATCTTAACAAGCGCACTTTACCTTTATTTTAAAATTTGTAAAATAAATTATAACATGGAGATTAATATAGACTGTATGCATATCTGTGATTTTAAAGACAGTGATATATTTACCATTTAGCTATATGTTTATTCAAAATGTTTATCTTTTTTTACTCGTTTAATTGTAAAACCATGTAAGCTACAATAAGCTAAAAATTCAGTAACTTTAATTCATAAATAAATAACTGAACTACAGATAGGATGGCGTTTTAATTTGTAAGTAGATTTTTATTTCTTAGACATTTCCTACTTACATGAATTTTGTTTAGAAAATTCACACACACGCACACACACACACACGCACACACACACACACACACACACACACGCACGCACGCACACAAACACACACGCATCCTGTTTGTCTGACGACAAATATTGTGTCACCATCATAAAATATATAGCAGGCTTTGTTATATTTGTTAACAAAAAAACAAAATGTATTTAAATCTTTTACAAGAATTTTTTTTAATGTTTATAAGTCGCATGGCATAACATGGATTTTATAAAAAAAAAAACAAACTATTTGTGATCAAATTTTGTTTAACGTTTTTAGTTTTAAATTTTAAGGAAAGAAAATGGTATGCGCGTACATGCTTACAAATGTTTAAATAAGTTATTTGATTCATTTAGTAATTCATAGAGCGGTAAGTCATCAGGCTAGGAATACCACGTCAATGTTATGCGAGCTACATTTTTTAGCTAATTATATCTCGTATATATTACTGAGTTTTTGTAAGTCTGGAAAGATGTATTATTTAGGTAGTGCACTGAAGTCGTGAAGAAATATCCAGTAACATAGCGATCTTTTTGTTATCTATAGATCATAATTATGTGCATTCCATTAACAAATTCAAGTCGGTATATTTCGAGAACAATGTTTCTTAAATTAAGCTGTCTTGCATTTTACAGTAAGGAACACATAACACATACATGTTTTATTTCTTCATTTGCATAGCAATTCATAACATGAATACATTATATATGTAAATTACTACGTTAGGAGAATTTATACACAATTAGTCTACAGAAAGTAGTGAAATCAGTACGTATAATTTTACATATCTATGTTGAAGTTTATGGCAACGACAAGAAGCCTATTTCATTGAGGACCGTATTCATATAACATCAACATATAATCATTTATTATATACTTTTAAATGAAATATTGAGAAATATTGATGAAATAAAATGCGTATTTTCATTTTCCGTATTTTCACTGTAAAAATTTATTTTTCACTGCAGTGAAACATATTTTCCGTATTTTCACTGGTGTCTTGCCGGACTACTTTCTTTTAAATTCTGCCAGTACTCAAAATTTAAGGGAAAGTCTTTCAAATTTTAATGTCCAGAAAGAGAAAAATGTATATAATAAACAGAAAATTCAAGTTTTTTCTAAAAACACATGATTTATTTTCATCTTGTGGCATGAAAATTACCATATTTCACTCGTGGCTACCGCCACTCATGAAATATTTATTTTCATACCACTCGATGGAAATAAATCATGTATTTATAGAAAAAACTTGAATATCCTCTATACGAGTATATGCTATATTTCAGATTAGTTTTTATTGTTTACACTTCTACAATAAAAATTGAATTCAACAAGAAATTGGATGTCTAAATTTTAATTGTTACCACCAATTTTTAAGCTTTTTGTTTTCAGTATCTATAACATATCTTTCGTCCAATGTAAATCAATGACGACACGTCTAGAATGAATAGAGAAAAGATAGAAGTTGGTTTGTTGTCAGATGAGATTAGATATAATGATGGCGTGAAGGGTCAAGGTGAGTTATTTACATACGTATGGCTGAATCTCATACATTTTTACATAAAATGTATGAGCAAGTTCTGAAATTTAGACATTTAAAGAATTAATTGAAATATTGTTGACATATAGAAAGTTACACAAGCACATGAGAACATGAGAACATTTTGACATTTAAACAATGAAAAAATAGATCATTTAGATAATAAACGAGTGAATAAAGACATTTTAACAGTTATTCATGTTGACAAGGGGCGTCCGTGGCCGAGTGGTTAAGGTCGTTGACTTCAAATCACTTGCCCCTCACCGCTGTGGGTTCGAATCCCGACAGGGACTTTGGATTCTTTCATGTGAGGAAGCTATCCAGCTAGCTTACGGAACGTCGGTGGTTCTACTCAGGTGCCCGTTCGTGCCTGAAATAATGCACGGAAGGACACCTGAGGTCTTCCTTCACCAGTTAAGCTGGAACCCAAACGTAAAACTCAAAACAAACAAACAAATCATGTTGACAAGTACTACAAATGAAATATTTATTAAGAAAATTTCTTATTGAAAATTATTTAAGATTTAAATTTTGTATACAAAAATTATCATATTTCTTTGTATTACAGAAACAATATTATTTTTACAAACGGGAAAGATTTCACACTTCCACAAAAACAACCTTCTTGGACTTGTTTTCCTTTCAGCGCTGGACCTGGCCTTTATGGGAGTATGGTTAGGTTTAATGTCCTTCATGCTGAACTCAAGTATGAATCTTGCGATCGTGTGCATGGTAAAATCAAACAGTGACGTCATACTACTCGAAGACACCATTATAACAAGTAACACAACGTCCTCTTTCAAAAGAAACCCAAATGAAACAACGGAAAAGATATTACAAAAGCATAACATTTCAGCTAAATATCAGGTTATTGAAAACAATCTGACCTTGACATTAGAATCAGCCGGGTCATGTGATAAAATTTCAAAGTCAAGTTCATTATACCAAGAAGTAAGTAGGTATTAGAAGGTTTAAAATATTTATGAAACTCATCACATTTTATATAAATGCGAGATAAAACTGCAGTTTTGTACTAAAATTTATCTTTAGCTTATATCAGAAGCCTTCTAGGCAACAGCTGATATTAGAAGGGCGTTTAAAAACTTCATGGTAAAGATTGTAAACTATGAACTTCTTAATGTAACGTTCACTAAACGTGCTTGTATCATAGTTTGGAGACCTTTCTATTGAAAATATGAGTTGAATTTTATACCAACACATGCACAGTGCTTCAACTGGAGTGCAGGTATTAGTTAACCGTACTCCAATTACGGCGTTGTCTGTCTGGGATACAAAGAGAGCATGTTATGCCCCATCATACAAATCAGATAGCATCGTGCTCGATGCTGTTTCTATTACTTTTCAAAAACTTTACTTGCATACTTGTCTAAACCAACTCGATACTTTCATACCTAATTTAAGTTTCCCATTAGCAACGCTCATGATGCTCGCTTTAATATTTCATATTTGTAATATCTATTGTAGCAAGCAGAATTTACTTGGAGCAAGAAAACACAGTCTCTGGTTTTATCCAGCTTTTATTATGGATATCTCTTGATTCAAATCCCAGCTGGATGGCTTGTGTCGAGATTTGGCGGGAAGCACGTGGTTTGCATCACTATGATACTGTCGTCTGCGATAACATTAGTTATGCCAACATTTGCAAGAACCAGTGTTTATCTGGTTGTTGCTGCAAGAGCGGTGCTTGGATTGTGTTTGGTATGTAATATATTCTTTGTAAACTTCTTATACCATTTCTTTAATCGAGGAGGAATTCAAAATACATACCAAACATATATGCTTATGCATAAAAATCATACATAGTCATTTTTGAAAGAAACGCGGTAAAAAATGCAAAGATGATTTCTGACAAGCGCAACTATATGGTGCTCACAAACATTCAGCAGATGCTTTTTTTCAAACTTTTAGCAGTATAAAAATAGCCTTTTGTGGAATGATATCTGTCCCTCTTCCTTTCAATACAAGGCAAGTCACTATTGCAGGCGGTGTCAACAGCATGTGACAAGCTGCCCTAGAACTGTCAGTTCTACACTATTATAGTATCAATGATTATTTAAGGCATGGTTTTACATCAAAGCAATCGACTTAAAATCGTATGTCTATGATGTAAAAACGAAATTTAAAAATGATATATCTTTCTTCACGCCCTCGGCAAATACAGCTTAAAACACGTTATTTCACAAACATGTCTTCAAAGTTTATAGGCACTTTAGGATTTTGTGATGAGTCTAGCACTGTGGACTTCATTACAAATATCTACATTCTATAATGTGATAGTTTTCCTTTTAGGTGAAGATGTCTTTCAAGTCTTTCAAATATTTGACGATGTTTCTTTAAAGAAAACGATATCATCCTTCATACTTCTCCCTGCATAGCTTAACATTTTCTTATGCTTTGTTCATATCATTGCATCCTTGTAACATACAGCTTTGAAAGATAGACAGATGCAATGCCTAGCATACAGACCTAGATGACAGTATATCTGTAAATATTGATTTGTATGATTTAAGTTATATACTTGTTGCTGCTTAAATAAAAATTACTTTTGTTTAAGTATGAATAAAAAGTAATTTTGTTGCACACCCTTGATGCTTACAAGTATCTAACACATCACAAACTGTACATCATCATTTGATACGAAATATATATTATTTAAAAGGGATCAGTGGCTCCAAGTATTTACGGGTTAGTTGGAACCTGGGCTCTTCAAACAGAAAGAAGTCGGTTTCTTGGAATGTGTTGGTTTGGTAAGTCCAAAACATAATTTTTAGCGTTCAATATTATATTATAATAAATATAATAACGTAATTTCCTACACAAGACCAATTTGTTTACAATGATATGATATTAGGCTAACTTTAAAAATATCAAAGGACAAGCTCCAGTTAAACTATTCCTCTATGTTTTTTTACATGTAGCAGCATATCACGATTTAACCACACGATCATGTTTTAGCCCATTATTTCATTCCAACGCTCGTAATATGATCACCTTGTCACACTCATTTCTTGCAATTGTAACATTATGCCAATGTCTTATTACCAATATTATCATTGACAGTTTTATGATACCAGTTAGTAGTATTCAATTAAACATTCATTGTTGTATCATAGTTTGGAAACCTTTGTATTTAAAATATGCTAGAGGAAATCGTGTTATACCCAAACAGTGCGTTAACTGGAGTGTGCTGATATTTATATGATTAGTTACCCGCACTTAAGTAACCGCATTGTCTTTCGGGGATACAACTAGAGCATGCTCGTTGATTAGCTATTTTGTCTGGGTTTACTTATTGCATTATTAAACAATTATATCATTCCTTTATACTGCCATATAAATGTATTATGATAAAATCAGTCTTAGCATCCTGTCATGCCGGTATACAGTTTCACGCTTTTTCAAATATAGCACCGTTTCACTGTATCAACTTTGTCAATAGTAAACTGCTGTGCACTCAATTTTCTCCTTTTGATATAAATATTTTTTTATATAAAAATTGGTTATAAACTTCAAATTTTGATACATGATAAACTTTCATAGATTTGTGTTAGATTTGAAATAATATTTACTATATTAAGGACAGAACCTTGGAGCTATCATAGGTTATTCGACCTCCGGACTTCTTTGTGTTTACGGCTTTGACAACGGATGGGCATCCATATTTTATATACAAGGTAAAACTAGCATTCTAGCACGGAGTCGCTTATTTTTTGTTTGTTGTAAAGTTGTTTGAATTCCTGAAATATAATAATTATGCATGTGCATTTTTTTTAAAGAGGATTTGGAGTTTAAACATACAACTTAACAGGGAATCATAATTTTATATTTTTTGATCTGGTATCACATTTAGGCTAAAATAAATATTTTAGATAACTTGCCCACTCACACTTGTCGATGAAGGGACTTTGTTCATTCAATGAAAGCTATCGCAGCAACGTCGGTGGCCTACTCAGGTCCGTTTGTGCCTGATATATGAATGGAGGCACTGAGTTTCACCATAAAAGCTAACCATATGATTGTTTTCATGCTGAGTAAAACAATTAATTACAAACAAACAAACACTCTGATAAATTTGACTTATAGGTATTCAGCAGTAATGGTAACCCTTAACACTCTTTGATTCAATATAATTATTAATTTGCTAATAATATATTTTGTTTTTTCGCTGCATCAGATATGATAGTCTGAGTACTATTAAAGCTTATCACATGTTTCTGCCAAAATTTAAAAAAACTATGCTATTGACACCTTAAGTGACATCTTATGTAAGTAGGCACAAACAAATAATATAGAAAAAGATTAAAATTCATGTAGTACTTTATCTGGTTAGAACTTTTGTTAAGTGTAGATGCCTTTTACAGGTGCTGTAACGTTGGTATTTGTTTGCTGTTGGTGGTATGTGATATATAACACGCCAAAAGAGCACCCGAGAATATCGGCTGAAGAAAGAAATCTAATCTTAAAACACATTTCACAAGACCAAAACACTGTTAACAGGAAAAATGTAAGTATCTATGAAGTTTTAAAAACAGATATGAAATATTTCTGTTAGCTTTAAGCATGCTTAGTGTAAATATGAGCTTTTTGAAAGACTTTTCGAGAGAAATTGAACTCATGTCACAAACGGGAAACTGCACTAGCTCATGAGCACTAGCATGCATTTGTTCATCACTAGTATTACAAAATGAATTATTGTCATAAGTTAATGAAAGAAAGTTTATTTTAAATATAACTAAGTAAAGCAACAAAAGGTGGTGATTTGAAAACATTTTTAAATGGAAAACAGCCTCATTTTAATGTTATAAAGGTTTTAATCATTTTTTTCTTATACCTGTTGCCCTTTTTAAACTTTTACATAAAAATATAACTTCAAAATAAACGAAACATGTATAGCATCTAAAAAAGTACGGGTCTAAATATTTAAAAAAAAATATTATAAAAGTCTTTTCCATCCATGCTCTACATTGTCTTCTTCAGAAAATCAAAGTACCATGGAAAAATATATGCAGCTACCTACCCGTGCATATAGTGTTTTTATGTCACTTGTGTGATACATGGACTTTCTATCTTCTTGTCACGTGTCTTCCATTGTTTCTTAAAGAAGTGCTCAAATTTGATATAGAAAGCGTAAGTACTCTATTTAGACGTTTTACTTCTACTCGGTACTGTCATTATTTCAAAATTGTTTGCTCTATGGGGCTTGATCGGCTTAAGAATTTGTGTTATCAAAACACATTGTATTATTTTAAGAAATAATCGAATAGTTCATAACACATCTGGTAGATAGGTTGCTCGCAGTTTTAAAAAAGTTCAAGACACGTTTCCTTATCATTTGTAACAGCGTATTCCAAAGGGGACATAGTTTTTGCAACTTGTATTGTAACTATTTTAAATCAAAATAGCTGAGTCGTATCTATTTATTTTGAGCTATTTTAAAACCAGCATTATTCCTATGAAAGAAACCATACCTTCAAAGTATTACTTGTTGGAAACCTGTGCCATTCTTTCAAATGAAGTAAGTAATTCGTGCATGTAATTTGGTAATTTTGCTTGCATTTTTGGTGTTTTTGTTATTATCATAATAAGAAAGTGTAAAAGTCGATTGCCTCTTTTTATTCTATGCTTTTGAGTGGATTACTGATTTATCTGTGAAAATTGTATATGATAATTTCACAGAGAAAATTATCAAAATATAATTTCACACTTTTCAATGACGAGACTACTTTTTAGAAATTTTCCCCATGTGGTACCTCAATTTTATTTTTGCTGACATTGTCAGGGCTGTTTGAAGAAAAGCAAAGCTGAAATTGATAAATAATATAAATTTCAAAAGTTATAATAAGAAAAAAAACTTACAGTTCATTCAAATTACCAGTCATCAACTATTTTCTCTCTAAATTTTTTGTTTCATTTTTTACAGTCTGAAAATTACACTTCCTTCCACATGCAAAAACTGTTCTTTATGACATTAGGGCATATTTAAGTATCCTACGAGCAATAACTGCCTAATGCAATATGAAAACTTGAAAAGCAATGACAGTCATCAGCCCGAAGAATAAGTAAACAGCCCAGCGTTCGTAAGACAGCCTTTCAACGATTCCATGTTTTCCAAATTCCAAGCCGCTTTTTGAATGTTAACACATCTGTCAACAATTACTTATTGTCTGTAACAATCCCCATATAAGACTTCTTTATTTTAAAACGATGTATGACTGACAAATCCAAATGATATCCCTCTGAATCAAACACAATTGTTTTCCTCCCGTGAAATGCACAATTTTAAAAATGGCGACCGCTTACATTACACAAAGTCTGGTCTAATATAAATTTACCGTAAGTAACGGAAATAAGGTCGGATGTTGTGACCTTTTCTTCTATTAGAATTGTTTGTTTTTATTATTAAAACAAGCAATCATTCATATTTTTTGAATAAAATAAAAAATATCATTGCATTTAACGTTGATCGTGAACTTATTTTTCAGCTCAAGACTTCTTATATTTCATGAGCAATTCGACATTTTCGAGGCTCTCAATTGGGAAAACAGATTTTAATATTAAAGTTAATATTGAATTTCATTTAAACTTGTTTTAAGCATAGAATAAAAAGAAAAAGTGTTTTTTTGTTGTGTAAGATGTAATTTTATATCTCATCTCGTGAACTTTAAAAACAGTATTCTCACTCGTGGTCACGCCACTCGCGAGAATACTGTATTTAAAGTTCACTCGATGAAATAAAATTTAATCCTACAAACAAACAAATATCCTCTATATCTTTTTTCAATATACCCTTTTCACTGTTTTGTTTCAGAATGGACTTTTCTCTTGCTTACCCTACCTTAGTTACATGATTGGAATAGCGGTTGCTGGAGTAGGAGCAGATCTCGCCCGCTCGTGGAAAAATACTTCAATTACTACAATAAGAAAGGTCTTTCAAATTACAAGTAATAGCCGTATATTTCGATAATATGATTTAGATTAGAAATCCACGAAACATTCGTAATCACTCGGTAAAATCGATACTTTCCATAACTCACCATTTAATAATTAAACTTGCGGTAAGTGGCGAGATTTGCAGAAGGTATCAGACATATATTGATGAATTGGATACCTTAACTTTATAAACATGTTTTATCATACATAAACAAAGACGATATGTTTATCTTAGCAAGCTACATGTAATCATATACTTAAACGGTCAAAATATGACCTTATTTTCCTGTTCCTTCCTTTTAAAAATTCTACTGTTGCCTGTTTTAATAATACTTCCAGGTTATATGGGCATTGCGGTATTTATTTTTATCCCGGGATATTTGACATGTGAATATAGATATGTGGCGATCACGTGCATTTGTCTATGCACGTTCTTCGAAGCAATCGGAATATCAGGAGGACACCTTCCAAATATAATAGACATTGCTCCAAGGTAATTGATTCTTACATTAATTTGTGAAATTTCATTTACTCCGGGAGGTCGAATTAGAAAACAATGACTTGTCAGCGTTCGGTGTAGGCCGCATTTCCTTGCTGAGCTTTGTTCTAATTTTTGTTTTGATACCACTTGTGAAGACGAGGACATCAGTTTGTCAATAGAAAACAAGATATTTAACTGTGTGTTAGTTGCTTCACAACTTCTAGATGGCAAGTCGGGAGAATTTTTTTTTTATAAAAATCTGCAATGGTTTCAAGTCTTGTTTGATGTGTTTACCCGATGCAACCGACACATTATACAGTCAAACTAGTTTCTGTATTATTTCTTCTATATTAATTTGGTTTTATATCATCAGTTGCGTGCAGTACAGGGTTAACTGCTATCAAAATAGTTGTTAAGCCGTTACTGCACTAAGGCGACGATATAAGTAATTGTTTTGTTAAATACTTCTCAGACATTTTAATCAATTTATTTTATATTTCTATTACATACTTTTTTAGGTATTCGTCTCTTATATTCTCTGTATCAAACACTATTGCAACAATTCCTGGGATAATCGCACCTATTGCGGTTGGAGAAATTACTAAATCTGTAAGTAAACTACTTAATATTTGAACATTTCTTTATGTCTATTTATGAGAAATTAACGTTAATGAATGCTTCCCCCTTTTCCAGTCTTTTTACATAAAATCTAAGGCCTAAACGTTATCAGTATGTAGTTAAAGGTAATGTTTCTACAAATATAAATTGTAATGAAGTAACAAACTTACAGTTAAATGAGCATTAACAAGAGAAATGTCAAATGAGAAATATAATTATCATGAACATGTTATTTGGTTTCAGGGTTCTAGTGAAGAATGGAGGATAGTATTTTATATAGCCTCGGGTGTCGCCGTGTTTGCAGCAATAATGTACGGTATATTTGGAAACAGCGAACTGGCACCTTGGGCGAGAGGGGCAGAGGTTGATTTTCAAATAGAAGTCGAACTGTCAAAGGAAGCGCTAACCAATGGCTTGGATGTGACAAAAATAGGATAATTTTTATTTTTACAAAAATTGTATATGTTTAAATGAACGCTATTTATGTATAAGGTATTAATGTTACAATAAAATTGATATTAAAACAAATATTGTGATTGCTGAATATGGGTCCGAAAGTGACATTCTATGTGCACTTTCATTTGAAAAGTTCATTCTTTCAAAGAAGGTTAGCCTACTTTTTCGAGATAATATAGATCCCAAAGGCATTCATATGATGATAAGATAAAGAAGTTCTCTTAGCTATGCCTTTATCAAAGACTCAAACAGATACCAAGAAAGGACTATCCATCGGCATTAAAGATATTATCTCTCATGAGCAATTTGAATCAAACCGAGTCTGCAATTCTCATCCCCTATTTATGTTTTTCCTTGCTCTCGAAGGATCGCCCCTTGCTAGAATTTGACCAAGTTTTTATATTATTCAAATACCTATATACACAAACCTTTCCAATCATATCTTGGAGTCAATATTAAAATATCGATTTTAACTTTATCAAAATATGCGAGAAGATTGTGTTATCCGTTAGCTTTTCATCTTAGAGTTCCTTCAACAGAACAACGTGTGACCAAAACCTACCTCCAAGTTACCAGAGAAATTAGATGAAGAATCAAATTTAACAAAAGACAATACTGGAGAATAAAATGATTTTAACATATTTAGTTTACAGTTGACACAGTTTTCAATCAATTTAATCCAGTGAATCTCTTATATTACAGTATCAAATGATTTTTCAAAATCAATTAGTTTCATTTCATTTATTGGCAAATTGGCATTATAAATGCCTTTGACCATTTACACATACTAAATATGGCCAAGACATACAGTTTACATAAAAGTTACACAAATAACTAACTACACACAATAATAACTAATCACCATATATCAAACATTAAAAAAATTAAGTACCTTCTAATTTTTTTACATTAAAAGCTCGTTTTATATTGATTCAGGAAACCTGGTGTACCATTGGTACAGTCGTCATTTAACTTGGATGTTTTCTAAACATTTAACAAGTAGAATTTAAAAAGACCCAGTTGTAGTTAATATTCGCCAAAAGCACTTGAAATAAAAACATTTAATATTTTATTCAAAAAAGAATTTATACAGCTATCAATATTTGTTTCGCCAAACACAGGCCTATGAAAAGGTTTATCATAAATATACTTTTCGTTTTCAAGAAATTAAATAAAAATAGTCTGTCATTTATTCCATATTGTTTTCTGTTGTTTTTCAGATTTAAAAAAGTTATGATTTGAATAATAATAGATAATTTAAAAAGAAATTGGCAGGTTTCATGACCAAAAAACAAACGTCATTTAAAGAATAATTGTTCGCAAATAGAGGATATTGAATGAGTGTAAGTTCAACACTAAATTTATTGCACGAGCTGAATAAAATTATATTATGCGAGCCTCAGGCGAGCATAATATTATTTTATTCAACGAGGGCAATAAATTCAGTAATGAACTTACACGAATTTAATATTCTATTTATCACATACCAAAAATAAAGACCGTTTAAAGTGAAATAAGAGTCATTTTTCATTGACGCGCCTATAGTATAACGCTAACATTTAGCGCGTCTTTATACTTTGTTTGTAGAACGCTTATGACGTCACGTCAAAATATATGCACGGCCGTGCAATACCATATTTACGGAGTCGCAAAATCGGCACGGGTGTGTGATAAAGACTGTTATTAAATAGTTAACTGTGCTTTACAAGTGTCTATTCCTTCTATACTTAGAATTAAACAAATTACAATCACTCGGTTCCGTAGGCTATTCTCTTTACACACTGAGAACAATTTGTTTTCATAAGAAGTTACATGAGTGTCAATATTTTTACACGTTATGGTGATTTGTTCTTCTTCCAGTGAAAGAAATACATAGCGTCAAAGTTTGGAATGTCTTAATCAGATCTCATTCCCGTCCTAATTAAAATCACCAATGCAATACGTTGTATACAATTAATATAACTTCAGTCACTGTATCTAGAATACCAAAGCTGACTATAAATAAAAACATTTTTACAAAGGCGTGAGTTAACATTTTTTATAAACATAAGAGTTTTTGGGTGATACTGTTATAGTTAAACATTTAATCATATTTAACACAATTTCACAGTTATCAATACATGTTCGTGAAGTTGGCAGCCTAGCCCATTTAACAATACTCACTATTCTAACTTATAAACGTATTTCAGTTAAAAACGATTTTACGTTTAGCT